TCGAGCCCTCCAAAACGATTTTGATAAAATTCGAAGGACAAATCCTCCCTACTGAGATTGCAATTTTTAAAACCAAACTCGCGGTTGAGCCATATATTCCGCAAGTCCAGATATGTTTCTCATGTTACCGCTTCGGGCACATTAGTTCGGCATGTCGTAGCAAACCACGATGTAATAGATGCTCATTAGAGAGCCACTCACAGAGGGAAGACTGTCCCAGACTTAATCTCCCCCCTATCTGTATAAATTGTAAGGGGGATCATTTTCCTACAGCATCTTCCTGTCCTATCTTTATCAAACAAAAACAAATAGTCTCTATCGCCGCCAAGGAAAACATCCCTTACTTGGAGGCGCGGAGCCGAGTGGAAAACTCGTCTCCGCTTCCAGATTTCAGTTCCTCAGATTCCTTTCCCTCGTTTCCCAGTACTCCCAGCTCGGGGCGTTCTCAAAAGAACCTCCGATTTAACCTTGAATCTAACCCCCCCGCTCATAGCACCCCCTCTGCCTCCCCGAATTCTTACTCCGGCATTCTTCGCAATCTAAATAATCAAAAAGAGCACACCCCCTCACCAGTTAATCTAAACTCGTCGAGCCAAGTTACCCCTGTTAGAAATCGGCAACAAAATAAAGAGTCTCACAACGCCTGTCTTATTTTTCCCAACGGCAGAGGAGAGCCTAGTGAACGCAATTCCCCGATATTCACTTTTGATAAATCCCCTGGAAATGATACCTCTGGCTCTTCTCGTCCTAACACCAGTGACATTTATGAAATCCTCTCTCCTATCATTAAAGCCCTTATCGAGTTTGTCCACAAATTACCAGAAATGTTCCCCATCATTCAAGGCTCTCAAATTTATCAAATGGTACTACAATTTTGTACCATTGTTAGAGGCATTTTTGGTCTCTGAATGTCCTCCAGCCCTCCCAGACATAACCCTCTATCTAGTTTTCGTGTACTATACTGGAATTGCAGGGGAGCAGTTCGCCGGAAGCCGGATATTGAAAACCTATGCCAATCCTATGATATCATTTTCCTATCCGAAACTCTCCTTAAACCGCACCATTCATTTTCTATTTATGGTTTTAAAGTGACTCGCAATGATAGTGATGTTGGACGTCAAGGCATAGCATTACTCATCCGTAACAATATTTCCTTCTCCTTTACCAACCTTGACAATATTTTGCGTGGCGACGATTCGGTCGAGGCTATCGGCATCAAGATTTTTGTATGCGGCACTAGTGCGGCAATCTTTGGTATCTACAGACATCCGGGAAATTGTCCACAAGACACGTGGCAGAGAATATTTAACCTCGCTAATACGTTTCCTCATTCCCTTCTCCTTGGCGACCTCAATGCTCATCATCCTTATTGGGGAGCATCCACTCCCAATTCGGCGGGAAAAGTCATAATGGACTTGCTGGACAGATTCCCCTTTACCCTTCTTAATCCTATCACGCCTACTTTTATTCCCCCCCCTGGTATTACCCCATCTTTGATCGACTTGGCCATAGCTTCTTGCGGATTTGCTGCCCTCCTTAATGTTGAAGTCTTGAAGGACACGTGCGGTAGCGACCATCGCCCCATTGAGATCACTGTTAATGCGAGTATCAAAACCAATAACATCTTTTCACATAAGCATAAATTTTCTCAAGAACAGTTTAAGTGTTTCACTCGAGCGCTGGAGACACGCGCAGACTTCATCAAATCCAGTGTCTTAAATATAACAGACAACGAGCCTATAGCTCAATATGACACATTCTTTGACCTTCTCCAGAAATGTATCAGCGACTTTTCTCCCTCAATCAATAACACAGCCACTAATAATTATAGCAATCTCAACGAGCTAAACAAGAAACACCCTCCCTCCCCCTGGTGGAACGCTGACTGCGAGGAGGCTATCAAATCTAGGAAAAAAACCCTCAAGATATACCGGAAAAACCCATCTATAGTTAATTATCAAGCCTATCGTAACCAAGTATCTGAAACTCGGAGAATTCTGAGAGCGGCCAAGCGTGAGAGCTGGAAAGCATACTGTTCTTCCCTTGACTTTATGACTCCTACCCCCGCTATTTGGCGTATGATCAAAAGATTTCGCAATCGAAAGCTTGCCCCCGCAGGTGATTTGAATCTCATTAATGATTCCTTAGCTGAGGATTCTATGGCAAACATCACCCCCCCGGCTTGCTCGGAGGGGAGGAGAAATCTCCTTGAAGATCACTGCTCTTGCGATGGGCCGCTCATGTGGCTTGACAACCCATTTCAGTTTTCTGAATTTTATCATGCCCTTAAAACATCCAAAGGTAGATCTAGTCCGGGCTTTGACCGCATTGATTACAAGATCCTCAAAGCTTTGCCTCTCTCGCTTCAAAAGTTGCTCCTCAGAATTATGAATAACATTTTTGTGGAGGGCACCTTTCCCGAATCTTGGTTCCACTCTCTGGTTTATCTGATTCCTAAGCCACATGGTAATGGAGTACGCCCTATTGCTCTTACCTCATGCGTTCTAAAAATTATGGAAAAAATGATTCTTAATAGAATACATTGGAGTTCTGAATCAGGCACCTCTAATCTAATCCCGGAACATCAATATGGTTTTAGAAAGTTTCGATCGTGTGCGGACAATCTTACCATCTTAACTTCGGAAATTCATAATAACAACCTTCAGGGCAAAGCCACTGCAGCCCTCTTCATAGACATTAAGGGGGCTTTTGACAACGTCATCCCCAACATATTAATAAACGATTTAATTGAGGCAGACTTTCCCGGTAAAACGTGTCAATTTGTACAAAATCTTATCTTCGAAAGAATAGTTCAATTTGTTATTCAGGGCCGGCTCACCTCTCCCCGTGTCTCCCGCAGAGGCTCTCCACAAGGTTCGGTACTCAGCCCGTTCCTATTCAATTTTTATCTTAGGAAAATAGCTTCCTTGCTCCACTGTAGAGTTAAAATCCTACAATTCGCGGATGATATCGTAATTTTTGCCTCAGCAAAACGCGTTAAAAAAGCAATCAAATGGATCGAAACCTCACTTGCTAACATCACGAGCTATCTCTACGGTAGAGGCTTAGAAATATCCCCTACTAAAACACAACTCATGATTTTTGCAAAACAGAAAATCCCGAATGTCAAAGAATTCAAAGTTCAGATTGGATCTAACATAATTACCCCCACTGATTCTGTTCGCTTCTTAGGGGTTATCCTAGATCCCAAACTTACTGGCGATATACACATGGAGTCTGTAATCAATAAAGCCAGAAAGGTGGCAGACGTCATCTCCGCTCTTCGAGGGGTTTGGTGGGGATCTCATCCTCAGCTACTCCTCAATATTTATCGCGCAGTCTTGCGAGGTTATATCGAGTATGCCTCTCACATTTTTTCGCTTAAATCAAGTCCTAAATTTCACCGCCTCGAAATAATTCAGAACAAAGCCATTAGAGCCTGCTTGGGCTATCGAATTTCAACCCCCATCAATACCATGTTCGCAGAAGCTAAGGAGCCGCCACTTAAACTCCGTCTCAAATTCCTGGCGGCAAAATACCTAATCAAAATTATGTCTATTACTGATCATCAGGTTTTGGAATCCATGTTTCGACTAGCGCTTACATCCCGAGAATATCCTGCGGGCATGTCATATTGTCGAGAAAAATTTCCCCTCTTCGACTTATTTCTTCAACTTAAATCCCTCCGACCTTCGCTACACACTGCAGTAGCCCCCCCTCCTTTCCAGCATTCCTATCAAACTATTCTCTTTACTCCCATACTTTATCGTCCGGAACAAGATTTTATGGACCTTATTGATCAACTCCCCAAATACACCGTTCAAAACCTATTCCTTCAAGCGTTTGATCCCATTATACGAGACTCCATTGTATTCTATACGGACGGTTCCAAGATGGATTCGGCAAATTGGGTGGGAGCCGCGTGCTTTTCGCCACAACTACAACGCAGTCTGATGTTTAAACTCCCAGCTCGAGCTTCAATCTTCACAGCTGAAGCTTGGGCCATATACAATGCCGTTCTACTCACTTTAGACTTAGATGCTTCCAAATTCACCATTGTCTCAGATTCAAAAAGCGTTTTGGAGGCGCTTACAAATCCTGTCACGTGTCGCTCAAATTATTTAATCCCTCTAATTAAATCCAAAATTATCTACGCACAAGAGCGTGGGAAAAACATTCAGCTAGTGTGGATTCCCTCTCATAAAGGTATCACGGGAAATGAGACTGCTGACGAATTCGCCAGAAGGGCTATCAGGTCAGGTATAGAACCTCCAGCATTTAAACTCCCACATTCCGATCTTTTCATAGAACAAAGAGAAAAGCTAGCTACGGAATTCCATAATTATCTATTTAGTAGAGCCAAATACAAGGGAAATCATTTTTTTCAAAACATCTATGTCAACTCCCCTAAGCCCTGGTATTATAAATTAGGACTGAAACGAAATGCTATAGTCACGATCTCCAGACTGAGAGCGAACCACTACAACCTCAATTACAGTTTATATAGAAAGAACATTATTGACGACGGCTCATGCGCTTGCGGCGAGCCAATTCAAGATATTAATCATCTAATTTTTCACTGCCCTCTAACATTTAACTGGGCTTCGAGCCTCCGGCTCGCAGTAGCATCACTCAAGGACTCTTCCTGCACTGACATATTTCCTATCCTGAAAAAACCTACCAATAAAATTAGCCGCTTAATCATGTCCTTCTGCAAAGCAGCCAACATCAATTTGTAAATGCGCGCCTCTCCCGTGAGCACGAATGGCCTCTGTTCCCCTCCATATTCTCTTTCTCTCCCTTCTCAGCGTATATCAGCCCTCCTAACCAAGACTGACAACTTAGTCCTTGTACCCAAGTTAATATCACTAGCATATTTATACCTAAGCGAATCTGCTGACCAGTAGCACTCATCTGTGTCAGCTATACACTCTGTGGACAAAGCTGGCCGTATTGTCCTCGGTTAGAGGCAGGAGCCAACGAAATTAAAGAAGAAGAAGAAGGTGATGTGCCTCTGGCACAGTACGGATGAAGAGCGTTCTCTCGCGGATCGTCAGCCGGGCCAAACGAGTGGTTTCGCGCCGGTATTTGAGCCTGACGACGATGGCCAAGAGCAAGTTCGAGTACGTGAAGGAGTTTGAGCGAGACGACAATTGTCTGCCGAACTGCTGGATTGTGATTCGAATAGACGGCAGGAATTTCTCGAGGTTCTGTGACACGCAGAAGTTCGACAAGCCGAACGACGTGGCCGCACTCCAGCTGATGAATCGCGCCGCTATCACCGTTATGGAGGATTTCAAGGAGATTATATTGGGTTTTGGCCAGAGCGACGAATACTCATTTGTCTTCCGAAAAGACACGCAGCTTTACAAACGCAGAGGTACTTGTCACATGCCTTGACAAGTGAGATTTGTCGGACCCAGAATGATAGAATCGATTCGTCTTTTGCATGCATGAAATTATTGCGTTAAATGTTAACTACATAATAAGTCTTTATTTTAGGATTTGTATCTCAATAATGTTAGTAGTTAATTTCAAGTTTTTTAAGTATTAAACACACACAATTAGGTATTATTAAACACTGTATTATTTTAGTCAATTACTAAGTACTGTAAATTTATGATATTAATTTTAAAGTGTTTTAAGTAAAATTCTTTACTGTTCTATGATTAAATTAAGTATTATCTGTCAAGCTATTTTTTATATATAGATTACTTCTGATGATAATCTAAAATTAAGTTCTCTTTAAGAAAAAATATGCAATTAATAGTTTTTGAAATTATAAGTAATTTAACATAAAAATTTTTTTTTTAAATTTGAGATTTAAACAAATAAATATTGCTTTTAATTTTTAATAGTTTTTACTTCAAAATTCATTTATTTGTAGATTAATTAAAAATATATTGTATGTCAAAAATTAAAAATTTTCAAAGAATGATAGTTTTTTTAAATATTTTTTTTTAATATTAACAAAATATTTATTTCAAGCTATTAGAATAATTTATATGAAAAATGACTTCTTAGAAAATATTACATACAATATATTTTAATAAGAAAAGAACTAATTATTTTCGTTAGCTTGACAATAAAAACATTTTGAATATAATTTGTATAATTTGGAAAGACTTTCTTTTTTGAGCTTCTTCTCGCGCTCATCCTTTTCAGAATTTTTTTTTTATATTTTACTCATTGATAATTAAGAGTTTCAAGTATTCTTCTCTTGCTCGTTTTAGCCAACATTAATGTGTGTTCAACTATATACAAGAATATGACTTAAATAATTTTGAATTTTTAAGTTTAAATTGAACGCAAATATTAGGATGTCAAGTGATCGACTATTATCAGTATACATATAAGTATATAAAATAATATCTTGCAATGAAATTTTGCACTTTTAAAATGATTATTTTATTTCTTTCTCGCTACAATAAAGTCATATGTTGTATATGTTTATAGGACTTAATCCACTTGTCAATCTTGAGATATCGTAAATACATTGTACTTTAAAAGCATTTATTTTTATAATACTTTAGTAAATTATTGGTGTATTATAAACACGGTATTATGAGAGAAGAAATTACAAGAATCTCTTTAAAGATTTCAAAGAAAGTCAATATCAAATATTTTTTTATGATAATATAATATATATAATAATTGAATAAATTGATTATTTAACATTATATTTAATATTGGAAAGTACAGGTAAATTGTACTTACAATTAGTTCGACGTGTCATTGAATAAAACAGTACAATATAATAAAATTGAATTGTAAATTAACTGTTATTTTATAGGCCATTAATTGAATTCTGCAATTCATTAAAAATTGATTAGTTTGATTTGTGACATCCTTTTTTCTAAAGTAAAATATGGAAATGTTGTATGGTAGTACATAATTAAAATTTTATATGATTGATTGCCAAGTAACTACATATCTCCAAAAACTTTTTTGTACTTAATATTTTTATATTTGTTTCAGCGTCAAAATTAATGTCTAACGTAAATTCGTTATTTGCCTCGGCGTACGTTTATCACTGGCCCAGTTTTTTCAGTGACAAAAAATTATATTATCCACCTTCATTTGACGCTCGTGTTGTATTATATCCAACCGATAAAAATTTAAGAGATTATCTGGCTTGGCGACAAGCTGACGTACATGTTAATAACTTGTATAATACTTGCTTTTGGAATCTTATTCAGAAGGGAAAATTAACTCCGAATCAGGTAAACATAAATAATAAAGGATTTAAGTTTTTAAAAAATTACGTATGAGTGTTTCAAACGTAAGGGTTAATTGGTCATTAAAAAGGAGTTAATTAAATGAAAAAATTTCATTATTGATGAAAAAACATTTATATATCTACTTTACTTTTCTACATAGTCATCGTTTCTTTCTAAATATTTATACTAGAGTCCTAGCCTTTTGATGTCTTCTGTATAGAAATCCACTGCTTTCAGCATTACTGTTTTCAATCTCTTCAAATCATTGAGGACCAAAGCATTTCTTGTTATAATCTCTTGATATAATTTCTTGGTATAAAATTGTTGAATTGTTTTGTATTATACGAGCTACAGTATTGTGAGTATGTATTGCTGTAAAGATAAACGATTTCTGACATTGAAATTCTACGTTTTTCTTTATTTCAAGAAATGGCAAAATAGAAACCAGACAAAGGATTCTTTTGGAAAAGACATGACAAAACTGATGCCTCAGTCCAAACGTGGAAATAGATGATATATAGAAAAGAGTAAAGACAGTATATACAGAGTGTAAAAAAAAAGTGTTCCATATTTTGAGGACAGGCAGTACTTATCAAAATAAGAAGAAAATGTTTAGTAAACATGGGTGCTAAATCAAATATCTCTTGAGATATGGGCTAATATTGTATACTATAAGAAGTGTTTTATGTGGTTCCCATTCATTGTTACACATTTTAAATAAAGAAATACACTTCCTACAATGTTTGTACATTATTGATACCTGATAATGACTAGTGGACAAACCTTACTGTACTACAGAATAACACAACTAATGTAAGAAGAGGACAATGTTTATCATTTGAAGACCTTGGTGTATTCAACAGCTATTGACGATGTACAAATATTGTAAAAATATGTATTTTTTACTTTTTTGAAATATGTGACAATGTGAATGGGAACTATATAGAACATCTATAGAAAGAGTATACGTCGTATACGATAAAGATTGGTCCATAGCTCAAGAGATATTTGATTTAGAACCCATATTTATTGGACATTTTTTTCTTATTTTGATAAGTACTGCTCTCAAAATATGGAAACTTTTTTAAAACATCCTGTATATATTTTTTGTTTTATCTTAATTGATTTTTTAAGTGACTAACTGGTTCTTATTTTTGAAATGCATCTCATATAATGTGTAAAGTATATACATATAAAAATCTTACATAGCAATTGTCATATGCTTACTATCATTGTACAATATCAAGTACATCTTATGACAACTATGCTATTTTTCAATAACAGAGTTATTACTTTTAAATTTACAAATAGCAAATTTAATTTCTCAGCAATCTTTAGCGATAAATTGTAATACAAATTTTGTTTAGAACTTGACTGCCAGTTTTAAGATATTGCAAATATTATATTATATTCTGTCCTTATAAAATACAATATGATATTTGACAAAACACATAGAGATATGTATAGTAAGAAGTTATAATGTATGATCATTTTTGAAAATATGCAATAGAATTAAATTATCTGTTTTAACACTGTTATTTACGGATATTACAGGCAGATGAAAAACTTAGAGGCACACTGGCATCACATAAGAACGAGTTGCTTTTTCAAGAATTTGGTATAAATTATAATAATGAACCGCCTCTGTTTCGAAAGGGTACAACGCTTATTCGGAAATTGGTGTCCGACGGTACAGGAAGATTGAAACCTGCTGTAGTTCCTTTGGTAGACGATATTATTGGTGATCGTTTCTGGAAAGAGAATCCCGAAGTAATTGGTTTGAAAAGTTTAGCAACTTATCAACAACCAAACTTAACGAATAGCATTAACAATACAGTGCCTGTGCCCGCTCCTCCTTCTCCTACCATGACAAAACTGGGAAACGATGTTTCTCCATCTTCACAAGTGACCAATGTAAATTTAGTTAATGAAGAAGTGTATCCTAGTAGAGGCAGAGAGACAAACGGAGATCAAAGGCAGTGTGAAAGCGAACGTATTTGTAAGAGATAAGTTTGTACCTTGTTCTTTTTTATACAATAAAAGTAACTTGAAACTATATCTATATCTGATGGTAAGGATCTATTGCAATTTCTCCCAGAGAAAAAATCCTGAGAAACCAATAAAATAGTGTTATAATAAGGATATCTTTCTATAGTTATTTGTGTAACAAGTGCGGGAAGTTGAGAATTGGACACGAGTGCGGAGT